ATGTTTATTTCAAATTTACAGCAGAAAGGCTTCACCCGTTTCCATGTCAAAATCTTACCGCGCAATAAATGCGCGACACCTTCATTCATATTAGCTCATTCTTATGTAATAACTGCTTGTCCGTGTTCCCGCTGTCTTTTCATTCTCTTCATCTCTTTCTCTTTCCACTCTCTCTTTTCACTTTCCTCCATTTTTCTCTTTCCACTCTCTTCTTCTCTTTCTCTTTCCAATCTCTCTTTTCACTCTCCTCTTTTTTCTTTCCTCTCTCTTTTCCTCTTTCCACTATCTTTTCACTCTCCTCCTTTTTTCTCTTTCCACTCTCTCTTTTCCCTCTCCTCCTTTTTCTTTCCACTCTCTCTTTTCCCTTTGCTCCTTTTTTCTTTCTATTCTCTTCTCCTCTTTCCACTCTCTCTTTTCCCTCTCCTCCTTTTTTTCTTTCCATTCTCTTCTTCTCTTTCCACTCTCTCTTTTCCCTATCCTCCTTTTTTTTCAATTCTATGCTCCTCTTTCCACTCTCTCTCTTTTCCCTCTCCTCCTTTTTTCTTTCTATTCTCTTCTTCTCTTTTCACTCTCTCTTTTCCCCTCCCGTCCTTTTTTCTTTCTTTTCTCTTCTTCTCTTTCCACTCTCTCTTTTCCCTCTCCTTCTTTTTTCTTTCCATTCTTTTCTCCTCTTTCTATTTCCACTATCTCTTTTCCCTCTCCTTTTTCTCTTTCTCTTTCCCTCTCCTCCTTTTTCTCGTTCCACTCTCTTCTCCTCTAACCACTCTCTCTTTTCTCTCTCCTCTAATTTCTCCTTCCATTCTCTTCTCCTCTTCCTCTTTCTCCTTTTTCTCTTTCCACTCTCTTCTCCCCTTTCTCTTTCCACTCTCTTCTCACCATTCTCCTTCCACTATCTCTTTTCCCTCTCCTTCTTTTTTTCTTTCCATTTTCTTCATCTCTTTCCACTCTCTCTTTTCCCTATCGTCCGTTTTCTCTTTCCAGTTTTTCTTTTCACTTTCCAACTTTTTCTTTTTCCCCTCTCTTCACTTTTTCTCTTTACTTTTTCTCTTTTTTCTTTCTACTCCCTTTTCTCTTTCCTCTCTATTGTCCTCTTTCTCTTTTTACTCTCTTCTCCTTTTTCTCTTTACGCTCTCTTCTTTTCTTTCTCTTTCCACTCTCTTCTCTTTCCACTCTTTGCATTTTTCCTTTCCTCTTTCCACTCTCTCTTTTGACTCATTTCCTTTTTATCTTTCTTCTCTCATCTCTTTTTCTCTTTCCAATCTATCCTTCTTTTTTCTTCCCACTCTCTTCCCCTCTATCTCTCTTTCCACTCTCTTCTTCTTTTTCTCTTTCTACTATCTCTTTTCCCTCTCCTCCTTTTTCTCTTTCTACTCTCTTCTTATTTCTTTCCTCTCTCTCTCTCTTTCCCTCTACTCCTTTTTCTCTTTCAACTCTCTTCTTCTTTTTCTTTTTCCACTCTCTCTTTTCCCTCTCCTCCTTTTCTCTTGTCACTGTCTATTTTCACTTTCCCCCTCTTACCCTCTTTCTTTTTACCCTATCTTCTCCTATATTTCTCTCTCCTCTTTTTATCTTTCCATTCTTCTCCTCTTTCTCTTTATTTTTTCTCTTTTTTCTCGTCTCCCTTTTCTCTTTCCACTCTCTTCTCCTCTTTCTCTTTCCACTCTCTTTTCCTCTTTCTCTTTCCACACTCTTCCCTTATTTTCTCTTTCCACTCTCTTCTCTTTCTCTTTCCACTCACTTCTTTTCTTTCTCTTTCCATTCTTTTCCTATTTCGCCTTCTACTCTCTTCTCCTCTTTCTCTTTCCAATTTGTTCTCCTATTTTTCTTTTTACTTTTTCCCCCTCTCCACTGTCTCTTTTGACTCTTTTCCTTTTTCTCTTTCCTCTCTCTTCTCTTCTTTCTCTTTCCAATCTATTTTGGGTTTTTTTTTTCTTTCCACTCTCTTCCCCTTTTTTTTCTCTTTCAACTGTCTTCTCCGATTTCTCTTCCCGCTTTATTTTTCTCTCTTTCGCAATCTTCGCACGACTCACTCTCTCTCTCTCTCTCGCTCTCTGCTCACTCTACTCTCTCTCTTCTCTCTCTCTCTCTCTCTCTCTCTCTCTCTCCGTTATTTTTTAAAATCGCCAATTTACTTCTTCATCGTCTCCTGAGACACTTATATTTTGATTTTAATTACTTTTCTTTCTGCTCTTTGCCCTCTTCTTTTCTATCTTGCATTCGGATAATTAAACTATCTTGCATTTTCTTCACTTTTCTAAAATATTTCTAGATAATATGTAAAAGATACGTACATACTTATGTTAATATTAACATATGCATACATACATATATATATATATGTGTGTGTGTGTGCCTGTGTGTGTCTGTGTGTGATAATGTATAGTGGAAAAAGTTAACCAACATTGCTTTGATTTATGTAAATATATATATATATATATATATATATATATAAATTATAATATATATATATATATATATATAGTCATCCACAAACAGACTGTTTCGCCGCTCATCAGTGTAGCTAGACATCCGAATGCCTCAAGCCGGTATCGAAACGCGGCTCATTTCCTATCAGTCAGAGATTTTACCCCTAGGCCATAGGCGCAAGGCAGTAACGACGGGGATATATAATAAAAACAATATGATTTTCCAAACCATGTAACAGCAAAAGAATTGTATGTTGCAAACCTATTAAACATACCAATTCATTTACTCGCTCTGTCACTAACAGTGCTTTTAAAATCTACCCCAACTCTAACTGTAGAAGTCATAACATAATTTACTTACTTGAATGCACATTATGTGGGAAAATCTGAATGATCCTTTCACTACAGAATTAATAATTATCAGAATCGGATTAAGTCGCTTCTCCACGAAAGATTATTACCTGTAGAACAATATTTCCGCCTAGAAAACATGGTTTTACTATTCATGCAAAATTCACTATTATTGAAAGAAAAGATACAAAAGATAAACTTAGGAAAATATTAGCAAAACATGAAGACAAATGGATTTTGCGTCTCAAAACAATTTGTCCAGATGGACTTAACAACAAACTAAACAGCACAGATAGAATATATAATCCCATCGATCAAACACCAAACGATATTTCTCAACCACACTAGACAGATGATTGCCACATTCCCAACGTGTAGGCCATTGTACACTCCGGTCTTCTTCAGGTGATTGGAATTTTGAACCGAACCCTTTATTTCATCCACCGGTGTAGATTGCCTCTTCCCTTTAACTAAAAATGGTTTTTGATCACCACTGCTTTAACCTGGTATCGAACTCACAATTCTTAGGACTTAGTCACTGGATCTAACCAACGTTTTTATCAACTAAACCATGTGTCCTTGAGGACATCTGTATATGAATTTATGGGACTGACAAATCTAATGTCTCGGCTCCATTTTTTACCAGTGCTTATATTGTAATATCTTGTTTTTATTCATTGCTTTTCTCTAGCATTCCTTATTACTGATTCCCATATTGTATTCATTTCTATGCTTGGTCGGCTCCGGAGATTTTGTGGCCTACTATATGAGCTGATTCCTTAAATTTTCGTATTTTTCAGTGATGTTTTTTGTCTATTATTCCAACCTCATCACACAGGGGTCGGTGATCCTCCTTTTACCTCCATATGTGGTCAGCTACGCCTGATTTTTTCAATTTCTCTTCGTGTTACTGCTTTATCATGTTCTTGCCGTCTTACATTAGGGGGCGGCCTGTTTCTCCTATATTTATTTTCTAAAGTTCCTTATGTTAAGTTCATTTGAATTTACATCTATATTTACATCTATTTTACATCTGTTTTCTAAAGTTCCTTATGCTAAGTTCATTTGAATTTACATCTATATTTACATCTATTTTACATCTGTTTTCTAAAGTTCCTTATTCTAAATTCATTTGAATTTACATCTATATTTACATCTATTTTACATCTGTTTTCTTAAGTTCCTTATGCTAACTCCATTAGAATTTACATCTATATTTACATTTATTTTACATCTATTTTCTGATGTTCCATATGCTATGTGAATTTGAATTTACATCTATATTTACATCTATTTTATGTCTATTTTCTAAAAATCCTTATGCTAAGTTCATTTGAATTACCTACTATAGGCATAGTTTCATAGAACTGACCGTGATAAAAACATTTAATTAATTTTCTGTGTGTAATAATAATAAATATTAATTATCATATTTACTATTTTCTACTTATGTAGACAATTCGCTTCAGTTTTAAGACAATGTAATTAAAACTATTATTTGGATTATTTATAGAATTCTGTAAAAAAAATGTGGCGCCGCTCAGTTGATTAATCGAAATATAAAATTACAGACGACAACTGTGGTTGCTACGGACGCTGCAGGGAATAACATCATATCTAACGTTGCCGGGCCTAAAATTATAGAATTTAAAAAAAAATATTTACTTTATTTTTATTCATTAAAAAGTTAATCTTAGAAGCCAAGACAACATTTATTTTATGTTTTCTTTACATCTAAACAAACTATTTTTAACTGAAATTTTACAAAGCATACATTACTTCTAAATAAACCCGACGAATTTGAAAAAGATATCGACAGAAATATTGTTAATATATAACATTTTTTTTTATTTAAATTTAAAACAAAAATAGGGTAGATGGGATATTTATTAATAAATCCTTTTAAAGCTTTTTTTTTTTAAACATATCACCCCAAGCAAGGTGGGAGTGCCACTAGCACGCAAGGGGTTACTGAGAGTGAGAGCAAGTGTAAAGAGGGGTCTTAGGAAAAAAGATAAAGAGAAGGACGGGATCAATCTCAAAGCATCAGAAGATGTCGATTGACATTACATTGGAATATTTCGAAGATTATAGCTATCAGGGAAGCAATTAAAAGGAAGGGAGTTCCACTGATGGGAAGTGCAAGATAAGAAGCTGTTGGAGTAGAAGAGACAGCTACATTTAACCGTATCGTCATTGAAAAGGTGGGGACCGAGATGCCAATCTAGTAGCACGCTTAAATTCATGCAGTTTGGGTACCAGTGAAAATAACTCATCAGAACAGTTGCCATGAAAATATTTGTAGAAAAGACATAGTGAAGCCACATCACGTCTGTGAGAAAATGACTGCAGACGAGGTGCCATTGCATATCCGTCTCTGGATTTTGTCGAGGTGCTCGAGATGAACAACGGGGGGCACCAGGCCATCGTGTAAATCAAAGAAGAATATGCAAGATGATAGGTCCTGATCTGGCATCTCGTCTACAATTGCTATCCCACAGACGTGCTGTGGCCTCCCTCTGTCTCTTCTACAAATATATTAACTGCAACTGTTCCGACGAGCTACTTTCGCTGGTTCCCGGAGTACATGGATTTAAACGAGGTACCAGGGTGGCATCTCGGGTCTACCCTTTCACTGTCAAAACGGTTAAATGTAACCGTCTCTTCCCAAACAGCGTCTTCTCCCGCACTTCTGTGGAACTCTCTTCCCCCTACTGGCTTCCCTGATGACCATAATATTCAAATATTCAAGTGTAATGTCAATCGACATCTGACACCCTGATCTTGTTCCCCGTCCTTCTCTGTATCCCTTTCTCAAACACGTCTCTTTACTCTTGTTCTCAATCCTCTGTAACTCCTTGAGTACTAGTGCACTCCTCCCTTGCTTGGGGTGAATTGAATTGCCTTAAAAAAGATTACATATTGGAGGCTGATAGCAAAATCATTGTTTACGTGTTAACGATGCAGTCTGTGTTGTTTGATGTATGATGTCGACATAGAAAAATTTACCTATAAAAGATAAAGAAAAATATTTCATATACAATTACATATAACAAGTTAACAGTTTACCAAAGATTCAATCGAAAGATTCCTTCGTGTTATGCTTACCAAGTATATCGATCTCTGATTAAACTAAGATTCGGACGGAGAAAGATAATGACAACAAAAATTAGATACGCAACTTCGAGTGCCTCGAGGGGAAACTTGAAGTGATCTTGTTTTATTTTTATTCTCAAAGAAAACCTCTCTTTTAAAAATCTAATAAGAAAGGTTAACGGTAACTGAATTTTATATGAACCAAATAAAAGATTCCTTTGTTGTTGTAAAACTCTTCATTTAAATGAAAAGGTTAACTTATTTCTACCTTAAATAGAGCCTAACTATTTGATGAAGAAACACGGAAAAATGTAAGTTTAGTTGACCCCTTCTTTATCGGAAAAGCTTTGTTTAAATTTTCTCAAGTGTGGCTATAGTTCGTTTGCACTTGCTTCCGGCCGTCAGCCTGAACTTTCGGGAAATTAAAATTAAATTGCTTAGAAAGAGAAATTAATTTATCTTTTGTTCCTTTATTGAAAAGTTGGCTAAAAAGTTTTCATCATTTCAAGATGTCGATCAATTTTTTGCCATTTGTTGACTTAAAACTTTCAATATCATTATCATCGTCAGCTTTCATTTTTTATGTTTTTATCTCAAATATAATTATTATTATTTTTCGCGTAGTTTTCGTTTTCAACTGGAGATCTTGAGTTAGTGATGTTCTCCCTCAAGTTGCACGACTTCAGACAGAGCAGATTTCGGTAAATATTAGCAGTACCAAGAAACGATGACTTTTGAAGCGATGGTATACAAGCCGTGGTGGCATCCTACAGAATTCTTAAATTTAAAAAAAAAAACAAAAAAACTTAGCTAACCTGTTGTTGGACATCCGAAATTAAACTTATATATTAGTAGCCGAATTTATACCATTGCTGTAAGTTCTGCGGTGTCTGAAAGAGCGTTTTCGGTGATGAACATAATTTATTCTCTGCCTATATCTCTGAGATAAGGTATTATGATTACTTACATTATTTACATTATTTGAACTGTCATCCTCATCTTCATTGTCATATTCACAACGTTACGACCTTTGTACATTCCGGCCTTCTTCAGGTGATTGGAATTTCGAACTGAACCCTTTATTTCGTCCACCGGTGTAGATTGTTCTAGTTCTACGTGCCATGCTTCTTCCGGATGTCTCAATTATTTCCCTTTAACTCAACACTCCAAGTTTTGTTTCACCACTGCTGTGTCCTGGTATTGAACTCACAACTCTTTGGTTCGGTTAACTGAATCTAACCAATG